GTGCACAGAGGCACATGCACACGCTAGTACACAATGCATAGATGTGCACATGCAGGCCCACAAACGCACAGGTGTGCACACAGGCACACATAGTGCTTTGGGCCTGTTGCCGTGCTCTTTCCAGATCGCCTGTGGGCCTCAGCTTCCCAGCTGGCTGAAAAATCCTTGGGTGGCTAGCTGTGCAGTACAGCCTCACGTCACCCTGCTGGCTTTCCTGCAGGCTCTGTGGGATGGTGCAGTTCTGCGGTGACGTGAGGAAGAAGGTCCTCCTGCAGCTATTCCTCCTCCTCTGCCACTCGTTCCCAGTGGTGAGTGTCTGCCTAGGACCCAGGTCCACACCAGCAGGCCTGCTCAGATGAACACTGTGTAGGTGCACCTTTAGAAGTCCAGGCAGAGTGGCATGACAGGCTAGGGAGAAGGGTTCTAGGTGTGAGGCAACCTGGGTCCTAGGTTAGTTTGCCTGTTAGTATGGACCAGAACATGGGCATCTGCCCACAGTTGCTGGCACTGAGCAAGGTGGTGGGGGAGGCCCTGCCAGCCCAGCTCTAGGACTCTAGGTCTCGGGCTGAAGGAACTCACCCACCCCAGGGACAGAGCTCTGCACCAGCTAGGGTTATATTTCCTAGCACTTCTTTTCCTAAAGAGCTCCTTAAATGACCAAAGGTGAGGACTTCATAAAAGGTGAAAGTAATTTTCATGAAGTACAGTGGTTTTTGAGGTGGAGTGGTAGGACCCACAGCTGATCCAGCTTGGAACCATCAGAAATGCAAACTCTCAGGGGCAAGTAAAGGGATTCTGAGACCCCATAAAGCATGGTATCACAGGACACAGAGAAAGAAAGTGGGCGAGCCAGCTTTCCTGGTGGAATGACCCAGCCTGCGGGAGTCCCCATCTTGCTCTCTAACAAGGGTTGTGGGGCCAGCAGAAGGTCTTCTTCTTTGCTACACACTCCATGGTAGCTGAGGTCTTTTTGAATCAGGGTAGTCAGCTCCCTCCATTTTTGGGGCTTTGCAGGACCCTCATTTTCCCTGGGGGTGATGGTATGTCCTTCTACTGATGTGCTCTGTTCCTGCCCCAGATCCGGAAGGCTGCAGCGAGCCAGGTGTACGAGATGGTGCTCACTTATAGTGACATGGTGGATGCAGACGTCCTGGAAGAAGTCATGGCTGTGCTCAGTGACACAGCCTGGTAAGTGGGGTCTGCTTAAGCCTGGTACTGTTCCCTCACAGCCTCTTGAGGAGAAAGGGGGAGTTCTTAGTCCTTGATGGCTGGCTTCTGGCCTTCATATGGAGAACTCTGGCCTCACACAGGGCCATGGCCAGGAGATAGGCATCTCCTGGGGCTTCAGATGGGAAAATGTTCAGTGTGAAATTGTTTTTCCTCCCGGAGTTTGTTGTGAGTGAAAGCCCCCTGCTTGTCAGAGGCTGGTGGCTTTTTTTCTACAGCTGGGCACATGGCCGTCTGTGTGCCACTGGTACTGACACTGGGGAACAACAGCCCCCCTAGTGGTTCAGAGTGTCAGAAATGCAGGGAAGCTATTGCTCCTGGGTTAGGGATACGTGAGTGCCAGTATATGTGGGTGGGCATTAGGTGGCTACAGCAGCTGCTGCCCCTATTCTTCCCACCACGAGGGTCCTGTGGCCTTTGCTCTGCCTTGACAGGCCCTGGGGACATGTCTCAGAAGTCAGGGGTGCAGGAAAATGTCCCTGTCTGCCCTGAAGCCCACCCCTGCCTCAGTCAGGGTATATGGAGAGTGGGAGAGTGGCTGACAGTGTGGGGCACAGGTGCCTGGGCCAAGGTCTGGGGCTGGAAGCAGCTGCAAACAGGGACTGTGGCAGTCCCAACAAGCACTTAGGTGATGCTTCCTGTGATCCAGAGACTGTACGTACAAGTACATGCTGTCACATGCAGCTGTGTGCACACAACTGTCACATGCTATCACGTATGTGCCCAGCTGCCCACACAATTAGATACACATGCATGCAGCTAGGTGGGCTGAGGAGCTGCTTCTGCCCCTTCTTATTCTGATGAGGAAGATGACATGCTGACCCCAGAACACTGGCAGCAGGACTGTTGGGATAGGCTATGTGGTATGTCCACAGGTGTCCCTCAGAACAGTGGCCTCCCCAAGGTCTCAGGCCAGGATGCAGCCTCCTGCCTGGACAAGACCTGTGAGGGCCTGGAAGGGCAGAGGGCTTCAGGGCTTCCTTGAGGTCTCCTGGACTTGCAGGGGTGGACGTTTTTGTGCCTCAGCAGGAACCTGTCTCAGCCGCCTTCTGACATTGGAGGAGCTGGTGGTCACAGCATGGCACCAGGGCTACCCTTTCTCATCTGTCCTGCTTTCTGAGACCTGTGAGGCCTGCTGTGGGGCAAAATCTAAAACAGCTTGAACAAGGGCACTCAAGAGATGAGTGGCCGACACTAGGGACACCTGGGTGGGTCTGCTCTCTGTTCCATTGAGGGTGGAGCTCGGGGGAGGCTCTTCTGTTAAAATAACTCCAGTCTTTAAAAACAGCTTCTTGTGTCACAACAGAAAAACATGTTGGATAGTTCTGTTTTTAATGAAAGCAGTAAATGGCTGAATTCCAATTCAAGTAAAGCTTCTGGAATCCTCACAATAAAGCCCATGCACACCTTTCTGTAAAGCCCTTGTGAAGACATCTTCCTCAGGCTGTAGGTTCGCCTGGTGTCTTGAGTTGGCATGGAGCCTGTGCCACACTTGGCACATCCGCGGGTATGTGGCTCACCCTTCCTCTCTTCTTTAGGGATGAGAAGCTGCCAGTTGTAAGAGAGCGGCGGAATCGCTTGTGTGACCTTCTTGGAGTGCCCAGACCCCAGCTAGTTCCCAAGGTAATCCCTGTCACTGCCCAGCACTGTGGGGACAATGTGGTGCTGATGCTGTCTACCTCTTGAGCTTTGGAGTCCATAATGTTCTAGGACCCGCAGTCCGGGTCAGCTTGTTACAGTCAGTGTGTCCACATGGCCTGTCCCTCTCCTGTCACTGCCCACGTCTTCCCTGGTCCCATTGGGCATGCTGATGTGGTGGCCTGGGCAATCTCTGTGTCCTCATGCTGCTGGTTGCCAGGTCTGCAGCTCTTGGAGGATTCATGTTGCCCCAGCTCCTCCCTCCTCTAGACTGACAGATCCTTCCTTCCTTATGTGGGAGGGAGGCCTGGCTCCTGTGCCCATGTCCATCCTCACCACCTTCCACTCTGAGTCCCATTTTCCAGGTTGTCACTGGAGGGGTTGGGGTGTCCACAGTATGCAGGCTCAGTGCTGTCATTGGTGCCCTTCAGACCTCTTCCTGCGTTCTCTATCTGTGGGGTCTGTCATGTATTCTGCACGGGGCAGACATCTGCCGCAGGCTCCTTTCACCTTTGAACCAAGCACATTCAAGCTGCTGCTTCCCCTTCTTTTACTGTCTCAGATCTTTGCCTCCTCCCAGGTTACCTACGCAGGTGGTCTGATGTTTCCTCATAGAAATTCAGAGTCCGCCTGGGACTGGTTGTTGTGGACGGGTTAGGCTGTGTTTCCGTGTCCCCTCTGCTCTGGGCCGAGCACGTCATCACCACTGACCTGTCAGGTGGCCACATGTGTGTGGCTCTTTGGATTCTGTCTAGTGTTTCCTGGATCTTTCTGTCCCTCCATAAGCCAGGCTCAGTGTGTCTGATGGAGATGGAGAAGGCATGTTGATGGTGCCTTCCTGTTTCCTTCTCTCCAAGATTGTCTTGTTGGCCCTTCAGCTTTTCTTGAACTTTTAGAACCAGTGTGTCAGTTTGCACTCGCCTGCCAGGCTTGCCTGCCTTTGCTGTGTCCAGGTGGAGGGAACCCAGGCCTCCAACCCTGGCCAGGCTCATTTGCCCCTTGCAGCTTCCTGGCCTTTGTCTCAGAGCAGAGCTGTTTCACCTCCTTGTGACTGCTCTTGGTTCAGCCTCTGATGTTTTCCCTCTGCATCTCAGTTTGGGAAGTTCCTGCCCCCCTCCATGCTGGCTGAGTCGAGCTGTCCAAGGCCTTCCTCACCGATAGGCACTGCCTTCGGATTCCTGCCTCTGCTCTGTCCCAGCTTCTGTGCTCCCACTCACCTCATTGCACCCCCTGGGCTGTTTTCAATTTACAGCCTGCATCTAGTCTGTCTGATGCTTGTTCTGTTTGTCGGTAGTGCTGTTTCTTGGCACATCCCGTAGTTTTCCTTGGGAGCCAGGTGTGAGCTAAGTGGTTTTGGCGAGATGTCTCTGGATGGAGCCGCTTTATTGATGTTCACTGTGGTGTTGGTCCCAGGGGCTTTCGGTTCCTTCCGCTCCATTTTGTCTCTACTCTTGTCTTCCTGAAGGGCCCGAGTCCTGCAGCTCTCTGAGCCAGACCCCAGCTTCATGCTGGAGCTGGTGAGGGCAAAATAGTGTGGGGAGCATTCTATAACTGTTCAGTCAGCTTCTATCCTCGAGCTGTGGCTGGTCTATGTCCTTCCTGGTGCTCCTTTCATTTCCCCTTCTGTTAACCTGTTGTACAGTTCTCCTGCCGTCTGTCTGTGGTTATGTTGAAGATGACCCTCTTTCTTAATAATCACAGTCTGCAGGAGTCAGGCAGTGGCTTGGTGCCACCTCTACCCCTTGGCCTTCCGGCTGGAGTTGGCTTCCTGTTGGGTCTGCTCCTCCCCTGACCTTCAGCACAACCCTGTGGGCACTTGACATCTCTGAGGAAATTCTCTCCTTTTCCTTGCCTCCCTTATGTGCTGGACTGAGTCCCTAGGCCCGAGCCTCTCCCTCACTGGAGCAGTAGTGTCTATATAGGGCGTGGACACCAACCTAGAGGTTTCCAAGTAGCACCTCCAGGAGCAGTGACGATGGGCTACCTGCTGTGGCGCAGTCTCACCTATGTCCTTATTTAGAGAGAGTGTGAACACATCAGATGTACAAATTAAATGTGCTTTTTATGTTCTCATTAGGGAAACTTTGAACATGCAGGAATGAAGCTAAGGAGAGTAGTTTAGTGACACTGCCCAGACAAAGCTGAGGCCACAGAGCCACCTCCACGTGGCTCAGGCTCCCAGGGTCTGGGATGTGGCTTTCTGCAGGAACACAGCATGCATTTCTCCCCACACAGGGGCCAGAGAGGCTGGGGGTGGATGAGGAGGCAAGACTGACCAACCTAACACTCATGTCTCTCCCACAGCCCACAGTCACTGAAGCCAGTCCTGGGAGCTGAGTGGCCTATGGCTGAATGTCCAGCTCAGAGGGAGGCACTGAATGCTACAGCAGCACGGAAACCTGGTGCTACGTGGCCTGTGTCGACCGAAGTATGGCTGCTGGTGCACCTGCTGCCAGGCCTGGGAGGCCGTCACCAGGCAGTGGCATTTCATCATGTGCACACACTGCTCTGTATGCTTCTGCCTTAACACAATGCACTGCCCATAAAATCCTGTACCAAGTGGTTCCTGCCTCTGCCTCTCTCTAGGGCTGATGCGTGAGGGGGCTGGGAGAACCCTGTGGGCTGGAGGAGGTGATGGGCTTCCCCTCTTTCTGGAGGCTTTGGTGGGGCTAGGGAGCAGGGCAGGGCTGGTCATAGCCACTGAGATGACGGTAAGTTGCATGGTGGTGTTGTCAAGCTGTGGTGGCAGGTGTGGGCAGCTGTCCCCCACATGTGTGCTTTAGAGACCACTGACAGCCAGGCATGCAGCCCAGCTGTTTTACAGAGGTCTGAGTAAGGGACTGGCAGAATACAGCATGTCCCCTTGAACAGTGTGACTCTTCTGTTCCTGCCTGTGCCTTTTTTGTGTCTTTTCACACCTGTGCAGAATGGATACTGGGCCTCTTAAGGGAAGCTCCTCCTGCTCATCTGTCCTGTTATGGCAGCCCTGGGTCTCACCATGTCATTGCTTGGGAAGGGTGGCCAAGCAGTCCCAGAGCAAGTGTCCTCTCTGGGCCACTGAGGTTGGATGAAGGAATGGTGGCAGGAGAGTTGGCAATGCTGCCACATCAGAGCTATGAGCCCAGGACTATGACGACAACCTTTTGCTCAATTTAGCAGCCTGCTCCTCAGGGTGGCTGGGGCATATCCATGGGGTTCAGCCACTTGGCTCAGGGGAGTCAGGCTCTAGGGTGTACAATCTGCCAACTCTGAGGAGTCACTTTCTAGGCCTGGGTTAAGCCACCAGGCCTCTGACTTCTTTGTGACCAGTGGCCTTCAGCCCTGGAGGAGCCTGGGCATGTGAGTGGGGTTCTGACTCTTTGTTCTAGCTGCAACACATGCCTCCCTCCTGGACTGTGATCTGGGCTCTTCATGAACCAGGTGTAGCCACGTTCACGTGTGGGAAAGGCTCTGCTGTCCGGTCTGCTGGGGAGAGGCAGGCGGCTTCTGAGGAGAACAGAATGAACTGGTTTTAGTGTAATTTAAAAACATCAATTCCAGAGGAGACAGCATTTTAAACCCAGAGACGGGTCAGTTAATTATAGACCTGTTGGCCTAGCAAAGCAGTTCCACTTTCCTTATAACTGTGATTCAAGGAAAAGCCATGTCCCCTGACCAGACATCTGGGTGGAATCCCATCCCTCACCAGATACTTGTTCCTTGCAGACACCTGGTGGCCCAGGAACCTTCTCCAGCAGCACAATGTGTGTCTGGAGCTCCTAGGTCAATAGGAGCCCTTCCTACTTACAGCTTCATGACATCCAGGTGGACATGGCCAAGTGAGGACCAGTGTGGCGAGTGGAGCAGTGGGGTCAGGAAAGTTCTCTGAAAGTGCATTTGGGAAGGAGCCCCGGGGACAACAGCACATGCCTGGCCAAAGATGAGCAGGCCCAATGAGTCCACAGAGCAGCAGGAAGGTAGCACAGGAACAGAGGGTACAAAGGAAACTTGGGGCCACCTGCCCGGGACAAAGCACACTACAGGGGTCTGGGACTGTGTGCCTGGGACATAGTGTGTGAGGGGAGACAGGGCTGCTGTCCAGCCACACCTGTCCAGCAGGAGCCCTGGGGACTCAGGTTCCTGCTGAGCCTCAAGTCTAACTGTAAATTCTGATTATGATAGCAGGATGAGGGAGGATGAAAGGCCCTGGGTAAAAATCTAATGGGAAATGTAACGGGGACCTTAAACAGCTGCATACCAGTGTGGGAGGAATCCTCACAGAATTCCTTCCTGCACTGAGGGGTGGAAGGGATGCATCTCCCAGAGCCTGTGTGCTGCCCGAGTGAGTCCGAGACTCCTAAGATGGAGCCTCAGCAGACTTCCTGCTCCACATGGCAGGTTCTGACCCAGCAGGGGATACAGGGTGATTTATACAGAGCACATGAAGACAAACCACCACAGCATCAACAAAACCAAAAGGACTGGTACTGCCGGTTCAGGTACAAAAGCAAATGGGTAGCAATTGTCAAGAGACTGGACAAAACGAAGCGCTCCTAGGAACAAAAAATGTGAGAAGTAAAGGTGAAAGGTCAGTGTAAGTTATACTCCAGCTACATGGGGCTGTCAGAAGAGGTCACCCAGAGGGGCAGCTGGGAGACATGCCTACACTGTCCCTGGGTCTCAGAAGGACCTGGTGTAAATGCTGCACTCCAGTTAGACACAGCAGGCCCAGGCAGGACGAGCTGAAGAAGGTAAGGGAGACAGTGGGCAGCAGCTCCCCAGCATTGGGCTCTGGCGCTGAGGAAAAAGTGAGATGGGGGTCACCAGAGAAATTCACCTTAACCGATCCATGTATGCAGTATAGCATTCTCATGAACTGAGCCTTTCTAACTCATGGTGGTTTCTTCATCTTGGCCCTATTAGCATTTGGGGCTACCATGACCATTGCAGCCTGCATGCCAGTTGTGACACAGTTGTGTCCAGACACTGCCAATGCCTCCTTAGGCACGCCTGTCCCCAGCTGAGACTGCAACTCTAGTGGCAAGCTTTAGGCAAAAGGAAAACCATCCCAGTTAGATGGTGTCAACTGCAGGGAGGGTGCTGAGAGCAGTAAGGAAACTGACTGTGTGGTCAAGAGCATGTGGCTAATCTGAGTGTTTTGCATGTAGAATCCCTTCAGATGGACAGGAGCAGCAGGAGAGCATCTCAGGTCCTGGGGACAGGGAATCCCTGTCATCGTGGTTAGGTGTGCCTGCCGACCTGCCAAGGGCCACCCCAACAGGAGCTGGTGTACACCATAGCAGAGAAGTGGTATGACAGGGAAAAAACACCCTACCAAAGAATGGCAAGAAAAAGTAGGCAACCTGCAAAAAAATAAAACTTTAGAAATGAATATATCAGCACACACAATGTGAGTGTGTTAAATACTCTGTTTAAATGACACAAATGTCCTATCAAAGAACTGCTGGGTGCAGTGGTATATGCCTGTAATCCCAGCTATTTTGAGGTGGAGGCAGAGACAAGATGATCACAGTTTGAGGCCAGCCCTGGCAAAAAGTTATCAAGACCTTACCTGTAAAATAGCTTAAGTGATAGAGCACTTGCCGAGCAAGCACAAAGCCCTGAGTTCAAACCCCAGTGCTACCAAAAAACAAAAGGGACAAAGACTCTTGGGCTGGATGAAACACAGCTGTGTGTGTTCAGAAGTGCACGCCTAGAACAAAAGAGAAGACAGTCGAGGAAAGAGGCGCCAATCATAGCTGGCAAAGAACCAGGTCCCATACCAGGAGATGCCTGCTCAGTGTGCCAGGAAGCAGGGATCAGTCAGTGTTGACCAAGGTGAGATACTCCAGCTCAGAGAACAGGATGACAGGCCTCTGCCCTCGTGTGGACCTGATTATAAAAGTAAGATTCAGGCCTGGGGTGGTGACATATGTCTATAATCCCAGCACTCAGGAGGAGGATCGTGCAATTCAAGGCCAGCCTGGGCTACATAATGAGACCATAACTCGATAAGTAAATAAACAAAGTAGCCAGATGCAGTGAGTCACATCTGAAATCCCAGCTACTCAGAGGTGGAGACAGGAGGATCAAGGTTTGAGACCAAGCTAGGCAAAGTTAGCATGGAACCCTATCTGAAAAACAAACTAAAAGCCAAAGGGCTTGGGGATGGAGCACCTGCCCAGCAAGCACAAGATATTGAGTTCAGTTCCCAACGCCATAAAATAAAAACCCACAAAAAATAAAAACAAGAGCCAGGCAAACCCACTGCCTGTGTGTCAGTGACATTGAAACAAAAAACTAGTGAGGATGGACTGAAACTGAAGAAAAGCTTGGCTTAGGTCTAGAACAGAGCTAAAATTTTGATATCAAAATTATAAAAGTATAAAAAAGTTATAAAGGAAGTTACAAAGCATTTGATCAAAGTTAGTAAAACACTGGCTGTGAACTACAACATGAGGAACTCGCCTGAGGTGGTACTCAAGGGGTTCTGAGAAGGGGGAGTCAAAGGAAGCAGAGAAACTGAGTCAGTGTGATAGGGAATTGTGCAAGTGGCGAGGTTCAAGAACCCCTGTAATGCTTCAGTGCAGACCCACCTGTGGTGGCCGCCTTGGCCTCAGCTGAAGTGAAGGAAATCCTGGCCTTCCTGCAGGTGCAGTGACCTCAGGTTGTCTTCAAACTCGCCCCCTGTGAGGTCCTGTTGGGGAGATCAGGTCTGGATGGGCAGGGCCTCCTCCCACTCCCTGGGTCCCCTGCATGGGGTTCGGGGTGCTTGTGTCCACCTAATACATGGTTTACTGTGAATTTCTGTCCCTCTGTTAGTAGGGGAGGGGACAGGAGGGGACAGAAAGAGACTAAGGGGCAGAGAGAGCAGCAACAGGCACTGTCAGTAACTGGTCACTTCTGTGGGTGGGAGTCCAAGAGGTGCCCACACTGTTTGGCCTGACCTCTGCTCCTCTACAGAAGGCAGCTGACCCTCTTGCTCTGTTGGCAGACATGCCTTCCCTCCTCACCTCTGTTCTTGGAACAGTGGTCCTCACACCTCTGCAGGGTCACCATCTGCCTGCCTGTCTGATCCCCTCTGGCCTCTGACACCTGTCCCTGCAGAAGGACAAGGGCTCCTGTGTCTTGGCCTCGGCCCGTGGTCTAAGCCTAAGCCTTCTGCATGGGGCTGGCAGGTGTGGGGAGATACTTCTTAGAGAATGTAGCTCCTGAAGAACAGCCCAGCCTGTGGCAGACACAAGTCTTGGGTATGTGGCAGGACACAGAGAGACCACCCTGCTCCAGGGGGGTTGTCTGTCTGTCCTTGGGTTAATATAGGACTCTGAGCCTGGCTGTGCCCCCAGCCTGCCTTGTTCCATCACTGCTGTCACCAATGGACTCTGGCTAGAATTACTTGAGTAGAAATGCAGAAATGTCCATGCTCTCTTCCACCCACTGCCTGCTCCAGGCCTTCACCGCCCTGACCCATTTATAGAAGAAACACTGGGACTGGGACCAGCACAGGCCAGAGTCTGCCCAGCAAGCACTGATGCCTTCTTAAACATGGTGTCACTAAATTGGATGCTCCACACGTCACATATTCATCCCCCTGAGACTGAAACAGCAGCCATGAATCATAAGGCTCAAAATCAGGAAGGATTAGCATCCAGAAGATGTGGAGATGTCCAAGTCTCCAGAGACACACAGTCCAGCAGAGAAATGAGGAAATCCTGATTAGAAAAGTTGCAAAGAGAAAATCCCAGGGTCCAGCAGACCAAATGTGCAGCTTTGGTAATCAGACACTCAGAGCCAGTGAGAGACCGTGTGCTCGCAGAACAAGTGGAAACTGAGTCTGATGTCCATATGGGTGGCCCCCACGGCTGGGAGCCCTCTGTCTCTGGCCCCAAACCCCCCCAACCTGCACTTCTCTCCTGAGATGTACTGAGGAATGGGGGTGTGTGTGGCAGCACTGTGACAGGCCTGGGTCCTGACGTGCTCAAGGGGTCCAACAGTCCATACCACATGCCATGCCATGCGCGAACTCAGACATGTTGAGTGAGGGGAGATGACGTGAGAAGACAGGCTTTGTGCATAGGAGTGACAAACAGCAGCCACTGTGTGGTTAGGGCGTGCATTCCTTGTGCCCACTGGGCACACACTGCCCTGTGAGGTAAAGTGCTGTATCTTCCCGCTGCCTGGGCTCTCCCTGGGTCTGGGCACTGCTGGGTGGCAAGCACTTTGCCCATGATTGGACATCACGTCCAGGATGACGCTGCATTGTTCTTAAGGCTGTAAATGCCATGGCTTTGTGGTTTCTGTCCTGTGTTCCCTTAAGACTATAAAAACAAGCAGAGGGTCGAGTGTGACCTGCTGGCCAGCATGTGCCAACCCTGTTGAGCCCATTTTCACAGTAAATGGTTTATTTAAAGGAGAGGAATTCTGAAATAAGGAAGGAAGACCAGCCTGATGTAGGCATCAGACAGCTGTGGCGACCCGTGGCACTGGCACGTGAGCAGATGCAGGACTCTCTTCCCTACCAAGTCCACGACAAACCCCATGCACTCTGCCAGCACAGGAAGGTGGCGTTCCTCCTGGAGAATAGTGGGTTCCTCCATGAGTGAGGCTGGGACAATTCAGTGTCCAAATGGAGAGGAAAGGGATTCCTATTTTTAATCTTTTCAGTATCAAAGACAATAAAAAATAGAAGTCCTAGAAGCAGACGTCGATGGTATTTTTTCGTTTTGCCATCAGGAATGGCTGCCTTAGAATGTCCAAAGTCCATAAAAGGAAAAGTCGAGTAATTATTATCTACATGGCAAAATGTCATGTGTTTAAAAATTTAAACAAATGACACTGGAATCTGCAACACATCACAGAGGTCTGTTTTCCTCACTGTGTTAAGAAAAATGCTGACAGGCTGGTGGAGTGGCTCAAGAGGTAAGAGCACCTGCCTAGCAAGCATAAGACCCTGAATTCAAATCCCAGTGCCACCAGAAAGAAAGAAAAATGCTGACAAACCACTAGAAAATGGGCCAAAGAGATGTTTCCTGCGGGATGGGGCTGTGAGGAAGGGCCTCCTGTCACATGACCTCACCGCTGCTCTGTTGTGTCCCAACATAGCTGCTAGTCATCTGCTGCTGCGTGACAACTCTACCAGTGGAGTGACATGCCACATCCACATGCACTGGTCATGCCATTTCTGGGGTCTGGCCCAGGCCTAGCCATGATTTGTCCTGAGATGAGCCCTTGTGGATTGGAAGCTGTCAGGAGGGGGAGCTTGAGTCCACGCATGTCTTCCTTCATCAGCATGGCTCAGCCAGCTCCATCCACCAGCCACTGTTCCCCCAGTGACCAGATGTGTGCACGGCCCCCTTGCCTGGACTCCCACCACCTGGTGTCCCCAACTGAGGGTCTCCACATACTCCAGAGGGAGCAGAGAGTGTGGCATCAGTGTCTTGGCACTTCCTGGGGCTGGTGACAGGGTTTGCCTTACCCCCTCACTTTGTGGAGTCCATCATAAAAAGGGAGAAGCTCTTCAATCTTTCAGAAAGAAAGGGGAGAGGAAATGACTTTCCAGCAGCATTTTAGTAACGAGAGTCTTAGGAGCAAGACCAACCTGCACCCAAGAGTGGACAGGACAGGTGGGCAGGCTCCTTCCACAGTAACAGGGAACATCCCAAGTGTGGCCAGCTTCCAGAGGCCAGCAGTAAGAGGTGTGTTTTGAGAAAGACACCACTGACAAGTGATGCCCACCTTGCAAGGGGCCTGGATGAATTGGAGGTGCAGGTCTGCTTAGCACGGCCGTGGACTTGGTCACCCTGCCAGTTCCACCAGGGACTTTGAGGAAACTGACAATGGAGAGGAAGAGCCAAGGTCAGGCAGGCAGGGCTCCCATCCAGCAGGATACCACAACGGCAGTGATCTGAGCTGGAGGATGACCCAAGAAGGGGTGGGTCTTGAGAATGAGGGCACTGGTCCTTCCAGATGGACTTGGGTTCTACTGCAAGGGGTGCTTTGTGTTAAACATGAAGTTGCCTGTAGGAAATAACTTCCTGTGCAGGACAGTAAAATGTCACCATAAAATCAGCCGCTGCTGCCACTTTAAAGGGAAGAGGCTGTGAAGACTCCTGGAGAGGGAACATCCACCACACATTGACCAACTAACCAAGAGTGTGCAGATCAAAGGAGACCTCAAAGTCAGAGCAGGACCAAGGAGGCCACAAGGATGGGTGCTCCCAGGAGGCATCTCAGCCTCCATAGGAAGCTCACTACCACTGTGTCACTGCTCAGGCAGCAAAACAGGTCCATTTTCTTGACAAGTCATGAGATACTGTTTAGCACTGACCACAAATGACCCTGATGTCCTCTAAACAGGAGTATCAGGTGCCTGTGCCCACACAGCCAGGATGGAGGAGATTCCTAGCATCTCAAACAGTTGCTGTCAGCTCTGTCATGTGCAGACAACACGGCAGTTGAGTGACATAGACAACCACACTGTGGACACGGAGATTGGGCCTGCAAGTTCATGAGTTCTGACAAATGTTGGTTTGCAGTGTTTAAAGGAAGCCTGGAAGAAGTCCAGGCTTATGAGGGTGCCACCCAGGTTCCCTCCCACCACTATGTCCCATGAGGTCAGGGCAGGAAGGCAATGCCAAGCCTGAGACTCAGAAGCCCCACACCGTAGCCTACCACTCACCAGCTTCACACAGATGACAAAGGGTGGCTGGGCAGCTCGGAAGTGCAAGATGGGGATCCGTGGCTTGGGCCTTTCCTGGAGGGAGATGGGTTGGCCATAAGAGTCCTTAGATTCCTCATGAAGACAGGGCCCCTGTGGCCTGTGCCAGAAACGGCCCTGTGGTCAGGTGGTAGATGGGATCTCAGGCCAATCAGGGCAGGAAGGACAGCTACTCCCTGGTCTCCAGCAGCCCCAGCCACCTTACAGAGCTACACCTACAGAACCAACTGTGGTGGTTTGGCCTCAAGACCCAGGACAACACACAGGGGTGTCTCCCCAAGGAATGAGGTACGGGTGTCCAAGGGCCCTGGAGACTTGGGGGATGCATCTGCTGGTGGGGCCCAGGTGGCTGTTCTGGGGGAGGTCACCTCTCCCGGGAAGGTGACCCACATACCTGAGTGTCCTCATAGCAGTAGAAGCCCTTCCTGATTTTGTTCTCATCCACATCACAGAAGGCAACCACCTGGGGTAAGCACAGACCAGCAGCTTCAGGGACTGGGTCTGTGCTGCTGGGTAGAGGCAGGGAGGGTGGAGAGAATGGGGAGGGGATAGGCTCACCTTGTGTTGGCTGGCGGCTGTCAGGCTACGGTACAACCTGCGCCCCTGCTTGCCTGCATTCCAGATGGTGAAGGATGCCCAGCGAGGTAGGGCCTGCTCCTCCAGGAAGTGGACACGGTGGGTCCAGATGGTTGTCCTGCAGCCAGGGGAGAAGGGGCAGCTGAGGCTAGCCAGGTGCTGGGGGCTCCACCTTCCCCTTACCTGCCCTCTTGGCTCTGGAACACGCATATAGGCATCACCAATGCACACTGTGGCTCTTCCTGCTTGTGTGAAGTGGACACCAGGCCTGGCGCCAAGTCCTCAAGCCGTCTGCCACAGCTGGAGACCACCAGGAGCCACCATGTAGCTCCATGGCCTGTGGGAACCTCAGGGCCAGCAGGCTGGCATGTTCTCCAGGCAGGACCCCTCTCCTCTGTCCTAGAGATGTGGCCCCTGATGGGTTCTCTCTACGGCCACTGGGCAGCTGCCAGCTCTAACAAATGGCTATTTTCAACTTTATGGGGACAGGAAGGGCCTATCGTCTCTCTGGCCTCAAATCCTAGACATGGAGCCATCTCTCCCGAATTAGAAGGTTAAGGGGAGTCTCCTGGATGTAACATGGACCAAACACCACAAGTCCAATTTCTCAGAGAAGTCATCCTGCGGAAGGGTCATATCCCACCACGTAGTCATGCATTCACATCAAGAAGTGACTTGCTGTCTCAGGGTCCCCTGTTTAAAACAGAAACCATGATTTCTCTGGACCATCCCATAGATGTCCCCTTCCCAGAACAGGCAAACTTGCCCCCAGGCAGAGGGCCAGGACTGTGGTTCTCCCAGGACAGCTTCTTCCCTTGACCCCACTTGACTGCTGGCTCTGTCCCCTGTGCCATGATCCCCATGCATTCAGGGACCTCTCAAAGTGTGCACAGGGGATGGGGCGAGGAGGGAGCAAGTAGGCTGGACACACAATGGCCGGATGGTTCTTGTCTGTGCCCACAATAGGGCGGCTTTTGCCAGCTCATTATTTGCTGCAGCCTCCACCCATCTTGAACATTTTAATTAGGGCTGTGCTGAGCAGCCACGACTTTGAGGAGGATTCCCCAGGGCTCTGGGATCCATGTGGATGAATAACATCCAAATTCTGGACCTTGGCCTCTGTGGCCATGTAGCACCTTATTTCTAAGAAAAACACAGGCGGGTACACTTCAGTCCACACAAAACATTCCTGGTGTGGCTACATGCGCAGCTCTGCATCACCCAGGGGACAGAAGACCTTCCCAAGTGAGAAGCTGGCCACGCACCTCGGGTCCAATGGTTGGGTGAAATCCTTCACACAGGAAGAGACCCCAGCTCCCCACAAGAAAGCCCACCCCCCTTTTTTGTCAGTACTGGGGTTTGAACCTGGAGCCTCATGCTTCCTAGGCAGGTGCTCTACCACTTGAGCCACATCTTCCAGCCCTAGAAAAGGACCTTCTGACAGTTTTCCTTTAGAGAACAAGGGGTATGTCAGTCCTAGAGGTGACCCCAATCTGAGAAGCAAAGTGGAGCTGGGTGGGGTCAATGGCAGAAGCAGGCCATGCTGTTCAGGGTCCCCAACAAGAGTCGCAGATGCTATAGGCCCATTCCAGATTCCATCCTGAAGACGTACAGGATACACATGTCCTTACCAGGGGCGCGTGAAGGTCCAGGCAAAGCAGACCCTTTGGGACCCTGGCCTGCCAACCTCCAATCTCCTCCTGACTGAGGTGAGTCCTCTGTATGCAGCAGGGACTCTGGTGAAAGTCCCTGCTCGGGACAGCCCACTGCCAGGACTCAGAGCGGGGTCCATATTGAGGACAGGGCACAGCCATTCCATTGGGTATCCCTGTTGGGGGGAAAATCCCAATCTGACCTTGCTTCACTCCCTGTATGGGAGGATGGTGGGTCTAACTGTGGTGGGCTCCAGAAGAAAATGGACCTCTGTAACACACTCTGTCCCCTCCATGCCCTTGGCATCCTGAGTCTTCTTAGGCAGTAGCTGGCCTGGATACTATGGCGTGTTACATATGACGGAAATTTATAAATGGCTGACAAGAACACATCTGCATCTCAGTAAGTGTTTCTTTATGCTGGCTGGGCTTCTCTAGGGAACTCCCCTTTGGAGAACAGACTCTTCGGATGCCTGACACACCTATCTTCCTGCTGAGAGGAGGCTGTGGCCTCATTTTAGAGCCAGGGGCAGCAGCCAGGGGCATTGGGTTTCCCAGATCCACATGTCAGCATTTCCAGAACATTCTGGGAGGGGCTGCAGGATCACAGACACCACTGCACCAGCAGCATGAGTCCCAGAGGGTCCAAAGAGGAGGGGAGGAGGAAAGGGCCAGCTGGGTGAGAAACACTCCCCTTTCTAGGAGGAGGGCACGACTCTCAGTCAGCAGCATCTGTGACAGCAATAGCCCTCATGGAAAGAAGCATAGGACCCACAGCTGTCCCAAGCACTCAGGAGGGTGGATAACCCACCGGTCTTGGTCTGGTGCACTGTGGGTGCAGCACTGTACATGAGCCTTGGCTGTTTACAAAGAGGAGGACCTACTTCTCCAGGTCAGGGCTCTGTGGGGCTCCATATCTGGTTGCTTGGCTCCTGCTTCCAAGGTGCATCTTGTTGCTGGATCCTCACATGGCAGAAGGGATGGATTGGGCAAGGTCAATACTTTGATGAGGCACAAGTCCACACAGTATGGGAACGAAGTCCAGGGCAGAAGCTTCTATGAAGATTTCCAGCAATGCTGGGAGAAAGCAACTTACAGAGGGCAGGCTTCACACAGGTTAAGCACACTGGTGAGATGCATGTGTCGTAAAGTATAAAGGTGTGGGCAATGTTTGATTTCCTAATCATGTCTTTTGGTATCAAGTATTTCATACAAAAATGCTAAGTGACAATGCAGCCATTGTCAATTTAAAGTAAAAAGGACAGAATTGAGTCACCACTGGAGGGCTTCCAACAGAATTTGGACAATTGCCTCTTCAGCAAGCCTGAGGTTATAATTAAGGCTGTCACCTTGGGAGGTGTTGCTACCCACAGCTCAAAACTTTAATCCGACACAGAAACTCACATTAGATCACTTATTTTGTGTTGTGGGTGGCAAAGCCTTATGTTGCAAACATGAAAGAAGAGCCCTGCACACAGGTGATGAGATGCATGCGGCCAGCTCTCGGGCCTGAGCCTGGATTCCTCTCACTGGCCCATGGTTGGTGGGCTGTGATCATCACCCAGGTGGCTGTGCCTCACAGACCAGGACAGGAAGGACCTGCACAACCTAAAGCCCACACACACTCATGTGGCCTGCAGATGATGGCAGAAGAGAGTGAGTGTCCAGCATCTTAGCTGACCAGTGACATACTGAACAATGATGAGTAGAAATGAGAAATGACCTGGGGGGAGGATGTGGCTCAGACGTAGTCCATGAAATCCCCTCCTGCTATGGGTGCAATCAGCCCATCAGATGGGTATCCTGGGTCAGCTTAAAGCAAAAAAAAAAAAAAAAAAA